CTTGCCGCCCCGCTTGCCCGCGGCCGCCATGTCGTTGAGGCCCAGCCAGATCTCTGCCTCTGAGCCGATGCTCTTGCGCATGTAGTCGTAGAGAGCATCGTTCTCCTCCCCGCTCTGAGGGGTGCTGAGCGTGCCGCCCTGCGAGATGCAGTTTTCGCTGGCCTCGTGGTACGTCTTGCTCTCCGAAAATGCAAGGAAGCATTTTAGGTGAATTTTGGTCCCTTTCAGGCAAACTGAGAGGTTACCACACAAACAGAACAAAAAAAACAGAAAGGAAATTGGTTTTAAAAAACGGTGCTCAGGAAGAGGCAGCGGCAGCAAACGCAACGGCCAAGGTGCAAACTTCATTTCTTAGGCTGCACAACGACCCTCGGCAGCACGGGCGTCCCAGGGGCCCTCTCCCCCCTATGCCTTCTCCCTCCCCATCTCCAAACCGTCGGGAAAAATGGACCTGGGGGTGCCCCTGCCCCCTGCCTGGGCTCTGCGGCTGCCGGAGCAAGGCACAGCGTGGTCCTCCCGCCCCATCCCCTGGCCTTGCCCTCCCCCAGCTCCTGCTACGCGCTCTCGGAGGAGTTTGGTGGAGGCAAGGTTTGTGACGGGCACTGCCGTGTTTTGGGGAAAAGGCTGCAATGCCAGTTCAAGCATCTTAGTTATGCAGGATGAAAAAAAAAAGTCTTGTCTTGTGCTTGCATAGCTTGAGGTCTTCAGAGGAAATTTCTACGTGCCTCTGATTTTTGCTGTTAGGAATAGCAATTTATTTTATTTTACTTTTAAGCTCTAAACCTTGAGAGTGCAAGGTACTGTAGCCAAACAATAACTAATCAGAGCCACGCATTATTTCCAAACCAATTACATTTCAGTGAATGTGAACTTGTAACTAAAGCCTTGATTTTGCTTTTGTTCCTTTTCTTTTAAGGAGAAAATTCCCCTTAACTTGCATTTTCATCTCATTTCTGTTTCGTGTTCTGCAAATCCTTCTCCTGTCGATGTCGGTGGAGTTTGCACAGACTAACTGTGGAGCACGGGTGGAAGATGGACATTTTGGGACCGTCCTCTGCCTGTGGTCAGTGAAGTGTGGTCAGCGAGGTTCCCTGGGCAATACTGCGGTTTGTGTAGGAGACCAGGTCACCGTTTCACTGGGGTTCAGACAAAAGAGTAGGCTACATTTGACTAAAGCACAGGATAATTCATTACCCATCCTTCTAACTCGTAAAGGAAAACGAACATCTGGCTCAGTGTCATAGAAATATCCATCGCTTTACAAACGGGAAGATCTAGCACGTAAAGAGGGAGGGCCACGCGCTGCACGACTCATGTCACGAACTGCCCCAGGAGTTGCATCTGCCTGGAGGAATCGCATCGAGCCCCCACTTTGTTTTGATCCCCCAACCTCTCTCCCCGTGATGGAGTCCTTGTCACGGGGCCCTTGGGCATCTCTTGTCAAAAACGCGTGGAGCAATTGCAGCCGCTTTATGCGCAGCTCCTCTCCCAAAGCAAAGGCCGTGCCTTCTTCAGCCAGTCTTTTACCTGTCTGCAGCGCTTGCTTTTCCTTCAGCAGAGCAACCTCCTGGGAGATGTTGTCAATCATCGCCTTCAGGTCTTCAATCATTTTGAGGCTCACACCATCTGTTGGAGAAATCAAGGGAGGGACATAAACGTGAGTTGCATCCCCAGGGGACCCAACCGAAGCTGTTCCTGTCATGAAAACCCCGAGAAAGACAAAAGGAACCCACAAAGTCAACACCCGTGTCCCCTCGCACATCCATCAGAGCGAGCGTTTGCTCAGTAGCCTGGTTCCACCATCAGCCCAGTCTTCCCAGTTTGGGTTTGGGGGCTTTGCACCCCATGGGGTTTCAGGCCGTGGGGGTCTCCCTGTGGGTGGCTGCTGCAGTGCGCACGAGGGTTGCAGGGTGGTACCCCCGCGTTCCTCTGCTCCCATGGGTGCGTTGGCAGGAAAGTGCTTTGCGCTTTGCTTGCCAGGCTGATGCTCAGCGGGAAGGGCTGCGGTACCTCCGCCAGACCTGCCCCTCACCACCGGGCACCCCGTCCCTCAGCCCCCCCTCCAGCCATCATAGCTGCCTCTGTCCAAGAGTCACAGAATGGTTTGGGTTGGAAGGGACCTTAAAGCCCATCCAGTCCCAACCCCCTGCCATGGGCAGGGACACCTTCCACCAGACCGGGTTGCTCCAAGCCCCCATCCCACCTGGCCTTGGAGACTTCTCCTGCCTCAGCCTTCAGCATCCCCGGCGCAGGTACCCAAACACTGGCCGGAGCTGCTCTCCTGCTGCGAGAAGAGTCCTCCTTGGCCGGGTTGCAGCCTGCTGCTAGAGCCTGCAGCTTGCTGGGTGTGATGCCTCTACAACAGCTCCAACCAGCTATTAATCGGTCCTTGCATTTCTCCTCTCTAGGAGCAAACGGACCGTTACGCCTTGGAGGTGGTGGGAGACGGGACATTGAGGTATTTGTAGTCATCACGCTGCTGCTCCTATTGCTTTACCTCACCTGGCAGTCCTCGTGGGGCGAGAGGGGACAATTTGCCCACGATGTGGTAGGACAGGGGTCCTTGAGGGTCAAGGAGATGGGGAGCCGAGGCACCAAGCCAGGCGAGTCGGGAAGCAGATTGGATGTGGACCAAAACCACCGGCCCCAAGAGTCCAAGGTGCCGTGAGGGTGAGAAGCCAGAGGGAGGAGGGCATGAAGCTGCTTTACGCATCAGTCAATTAATGCCCACGGGAGCACTGAGGCGCTAGTTATCGGTTTGCTGCCTTTGATGAAAACACTTTGTGGGAAACAGCTAACTGATGCCGTGGGGTGGTTGTGGTTTTTTTCCATGCAAGCCTGGCTCGCAGCAGCACGACTATCACTTAGGTTTAAGTGCCACCCAAGGGCCGTGGCAGGACGCTGCCAACTCACGTTGTTCCAGCCAGGTCTGCCGGTGGGTTCCCACCCTGAGGGTCCCCGCCACGCAAGGCGACACGTCTCCTTCATAACCACCTCGGCGCCCTGTCCCTTTTCACCATCTCTTCTCCAAATCCTGGGCCACGAGACGTTCCTACAGCCACACGTGCACCGGGGCGTCGTGGGGAGGACCGGGAGGGGGTAACTTGCACTTCAGCTACAAAGCGAGGACCGCGGCTACACCAAGAGACATCAAATTTTCTATTTTCTTGCCAGAGGTTTTTGTCTCCGCGCTGTCCTTTCCTCAAGGCTCGCCTCCCGCAGCCCACGTTTACAGCCTGGCTTTGCTGCC